TCAGCTAAAAAGTCACTATTTAATTACTCCCTTTTTATTCTTCAATTTTAGACTTTTTAAAAATCTGAAAAAATAAATGAATAGAAATTTAATTGAATAATTTATATATGAAATTAGATTTTCGATATCTTTAATATTGAATAATTTATAGAAATTATAATAAAAGTCAAATTTAATAAAATTATTGAAAAGTTATAATAATTTATAGAAAATAGGGGAGTAATAATTAATGAAAAAGTATTAAAAGTTATCAATTGATTATTACCTTTTTTAATTTTAATTTAGATCTTTTTGAAAATTAAAAAAAGAGGTTTATAAAGATTTAATTGAATTACATTTATTTGAAATTAGAATTTGAAATTAGAATTTGAAAAACTTTTGAATCGGAGATCTTATATTGAATTGAAATAACCCTAATTATTATTCTACAGATTTTTTTAGTGATTAATATTAATAATAATTATAACCCTAAAAGAAGTAATAATTCAAATGAAAAGTCGCTATTTAATCATTAATTTTTTATCCTTCAATTTCAAACTTTTTAGAAATTTGAAAAAAGAAATGAATAGAAATTCAATTAAATTATTTTTATATGAAAACAGATTTTCAATATCTTTAGTATTAATCGATTTATACTACTAACCTTAAAGCTTAAGGTTAATAAGATTGAAAAAAAGCTATGATAATTTTCAAAAATAAGAGAATAATGATTACAATCTTAAGGGAGGTAGTAATTCAAATAAAAAGTTGTTATTTGATCATTACTTCTTTATCCTTCAATTTTAGGCTTTTCAGAAATTTGAAAAAAGAAATGAATAGAAATTCAATTAAATTATTTATATATAAAAACAGATTTTTGATATCTTTAGTATTGATTGATTTTTATTATTAACCTTAAAGCTTAAAATTAATAAGATTGAAGAAAAGTTATAATAATTTTCGAAAACAAAAAAGTAATAATCACAACCTTAAGGAAAATAATAACCTAAATAAAAAGTTGTTATTTGATTACTTTTTCTCTACCCTTCAATTTTAAGCTTTTCAGAAATTAAAAAAAAATTGAATAGAAATTCAATTGAATTATTTATATACAAAAACAGATTTTTAATATCTTTAGTATTAATTGATCTAGATTACTAACCCTAAAGCTTAAGGTTAATAAAGTTGAAGAAAAATTATAATAATTTTCGAAAACAAAAGGATAATAATTTATGAAATAAGTAAATTTGATTATTATCTTCGATTTAATAAAAAGTAATAAATTAAATAAAACTTTTTAATAATCTAAAGTTTATTTTCATTTATATATCAAATTTCGAAAACAGATTTAAATTATCTTTCGAATTATTATTTTATATTTGTTTTGAAAAAGCTTGAATTTAAAAGGATATAAGAAATAATAACTTAATAAAAAGAGATATAGAATAATTTAATTATATAATTGAAAATTCAATATTAATAAGAATACTATTAATAAGAATATTAAGAATACTATTAATAAGGATATTAATAAGAATATTATAACAATATTGATAAAATTACTTATAAGAAATATATAAGAATATTAATATAAAATATATAAAAATATTAATAAAAATACTAAAAGTTTTATATTGAAAAATTAGTATAAAAATTAGTATATAGATTAATATAAAGATTAATAACGTAACGTATGGGGAACTCGGACATATGGGGAACTCGGACACTTTTAGCCCATCACCAACTTGAAACCGCAATAACTTTTATTATGCATACCCAATCACCTTCTACATCTGCTCAAATTGAAGAGAAGCTTCAAAAGGCTATAATTTCACTTCAATTGAAAGAATTTAAATCAATTAGAAAGGCTGCAGAGCATTTTGAAGTCCCTAAGTCTACCCTAGCTGATAGGCTGGCTGGGAAGAAAACACGTTCCCAAACCCACGAAATGGCTCAAATTCTTTCAAACGCAGAAGAAAATACTCTTGTACGATGGATTTCACGACTTACCATCACTGGATTCCCTGCTACACCTATGTTGGTGAAGGAAATGGCCGACGAAATTCGTCTTCGACGCGTTCGGGTCGCGTCATCTCGAAATCCTACCTCGACAGAAATTCCACCTATAGGCCACGAATGGATCTATAGATTCCAAAAACGACATCCAGAACTTAAAACATGCTATTCACGTCAATTAGAGTCTAATCGGGCTAAAGAAGCAACTCCGGAGAATATTCAGGCTTGGTTTGACGCGTTTCGCACGCGTCTCATTGAGCGAAAGTATGAATTAGATGATATGTATAATATGGATGAAACCGGATTTGGAGTTGGAAGTACTCAAAGTACGCGCATTATAGTCGATTCTACTCAGAAATCGAATTGGAAAGTTACAGCTGGCAAGCAAGAATGGATAACTGCATTTGAATGTGTCAATGCAGCTGGAAATGCTCTATCACCTATGGTCATTTTCAAGGCTCAGAATACGAATTCTGCATGGATTCCAAAGGACACACCTCAAAGCTGGCAGTTCTCTACTAGTACAAATGGATGGACCTCAAATAGCCATGGATTAGAATGGTTAAAAAGGGTTTTCGAACCAGAATCCAAGAAAGTGTCAGGTGACCGACCTCGACTTTTGATCATGGATGGCCATTCAAGCCATATTACAGGTAGCTTTATTGCTTTCTGTATAGATAATGATATTGATTTACTTATATTACCTCCTCATTGCTCTCACTTGCTTCAGCCACTTGATATTGCGGTGTATGGGCCAATGAAACGATATCATGCTTTAGAGGTCGATCGATATTCTCGAGCTGGTGTAAAGCGAATCCAAAGAGCTGAATGGGTAGAACTCTTTCAAAATATTAGAAAAAAAGCATTGAATTCTTCTAATATTAAAGCTGGCTGGAGAGGAGCTGGTTTAGTACCTTTTGCCCCACGAAAAGTACTCGATTCATTACCATTTAACTCCTCCCAGCAACCTTCTACTCCACAAATGAGAACCCCCAATCAAGACCTAGACTTGTCTATACTCAGGAGTTCTCCTCCAGATGGAACAGAACTAAGGCAAGCAAATCAGATCTTTAATACAGCTCTAGCAAGCAGTGGTTCTCCTGCATCGCCAACTCGTCGATATGCCAAGAGAATGACTAGGCTTGTAGAATCTCAAAATGCTGAGATAGCCCTACTTCGGAAACAGCTCTCTGATGCTCAGGAGGTAATTGAGACTCGAAAGAAAAGAACTAAAGGCAAAAGAGTCAAATTACAAGGTCAATTTGTCTTTAGTACTAAGGAAGTATTGAAAATGGTACGTGAGGCGGAGGAAAAACCGAAGGAGAAAAAGCCACGAGGACGGCCACGCAAACGCCTAATTGAAGAATCAGAAGAAGATATTGAAGAAGAAGAGCTAGAGAATAGTTCAAGTGATTCGGAATTGGAATTGGAGGATTGTGTGGCTCGTAGAACAAGATCGCGTGTAGAATAATTGAAAAAGTGTCCGAGTTCCCCATATGTCCGAGTTCCCCATACGTTACGTTATAAAACTTAAATTTTATAATTTATAGGATTCTATAATATATGTTAAAAAAGTAATTATATTTTAAAAGATGAATATTAAATAATATTAATAAATTATTAATAAAATATTAGCTTCGAGATCATTACTAATATGTTGTAAGATCTCAGCTTAGATTGTGTGTACTTAATTATTGATATGCTTAACAAATGTGTAATAGATTTGTTAAAGTTATTAAACATTATTGTGTAAACTTTGTTAATATATTTTTATATTAAATAGATTGTTTTTAGTTATAATTAACCAAATATTAAAAGGACCTTTAATATTGTAATATAAAAGCTAAGGCTTTGTTTTAAGCTTAATAAAAAATCCATTTTTGTTATTGTTATAATATTTATTCAGTTCAAAATAGAATGGCTAGTAAAGTAAAACAAATATTATAATAATATATAAGAAGCTATCCAATAATATTTAATATTAAATATAAACAATACTTTTTTTAAGTAGCTTTAATTTGCTAAGAATTATTAAATGTTTCGAAATAAAAAGTTTTATAGAAAGTAATATTATTTCTGTTTGAATTTAATACCTTCTACCAGCAAATATTAAATTAAATTATAGATTTAAAAGATACTAAGCTTTATAAAAATATACTAGTTATTGTTTTGACTATATATTAACCCGTTATATTAAACGAATTGATAGCTTTTATAAATATATTTAATAAAGTTGCTAGCGATTATAAAGCTTTATCAAAGATTATAGGTCTTTGTGGTTCCTTTTTAATACTTCAGGAATGTACTATCTTCTTTGTTTATCAGTCTGCTAAGAACTCTTTTTACTCGGACAAGTATTGAACAGGGTGTTTCCTTTTGGTAAAGAAAAAGTGAACTATACAATCTTCTCGAGATCGATATAAGTTATGTCTAGTGTACTACAGCGTGATATTTATAGTCTACACACTCCGGGAATATCTATCGATCAAATCAAGCAGCCTAATCCAGATCTACTAGCCACAGTACAATACTCTTATCTCTATTAAATGAACTATCGATTAGACTCAAATATTAAAGGAAATTCTAATAATAACCTTAAAGATAATAGCTTAGTTTATAAGTTTTTATGTCAAAGTTTCCTTTATTGGTTCGAAGTATTAAATCTAATGAGAAGCTTTATAAATAATATAGTAATAATTAGAAAGCCTGAGGACTAAATACAAATAAGTTTCTGTATAATTTTAAACAACAATTTAAAATATAATTAGAAAACTCTAGCTAATTTAGTAAGGTTAATAAAAGTCCCAATCTATATGCATTTGTGAATAATATAAAGAGGTTTATTCTATACAACCGATTAGTTATTGAGCAGACGCCTCTTCAATCTTACTGCTCGGCCCTTATCTTTACCCCAGAAAAGAGTATTGTTCAAAAAACATTCGAGTAGTGCATTCCTTCTTGGATTCAGCAAAAGCTGATAAATAGTAGAACCATATTGGAACACTATGTTACAAACGCTCGAGGGCCATACTAATTCGATCAGCTCAGTTGCTTTCTCGCCTAATAGCAAGCAGATAATATCCGGATCTTCGGATAACACACTACAGATCTGGGATATAGCAACAGGAGAGCAGGTTCTTCCAATACTCGAGGGTCATAAAGACTGAGTAAGCTCAGTCGCTTTCTCGCCTGATAGCAAGCAGGTAGTATCTGGATCTAATGATAATACAGTACGAGTCTGGGATATAGCAAGAGGAGAGCAGATTCTTCCAACGAGGGCCATACTAGCGAGGTCTACTCAGTCGCCTTTTTATCCGATGGTAAACAAATAATATCTGGATCTTACGATAACACAATGCGGGTCTGGGATATAACAATAGGAGAGCAGATTCTTCCAACACTTAAGGGCTATATCAGCGAGGTTAGCTCAATCGCCTTCTCGCTTGATGGTATACAGGTAGTGTCCGAATCAGATAATCTAATGCTACCACATACTCTAGTTTTATCAAATAATTGGGTCATAGAAGGTGGTGTAAATATTCTCTGGCTACCTTCTGAGTATTGTATAATGGTTGTTGCTATTTATCGTGGATTTGTTGTTCTAGAGCAAAGTTCTAGGAGAATTTCATTTTTTGAATTTGCGCATACGTCAAAGTTTCCGTAATATACTGTATATAGATTATAGCGTTTTAATCATTATTTTCCTTTTAGTATCTTCTTATTATATCGCTTTTTCATTTTATCTTTGTTTCACAGAGAGTCTTAGGGGAGTTGTTCTGTTTAAAATAAGTTAAATTGCCACTCAGTTTCTAATATCTTCCAAAATTATCAGGTACCAGATCTTAGTGCATCTAAACACAACTACTATCCTATTTGAAGAAATAAATAGAACAAGCCAGAGGCAGCTAAGGTGATCACTTTGTAGGAATTACTTATAGAAGTCTTCCTACAATATAGTAACTCCGAATATTCAAAAGTACTGTAATGAGAAAACACTATCAGCTGGCATTGCTACCATATATCCCTGCTACTTGACTATAGAAGTATGTAAGACTAAGAGCGGCAGTCTATAACCTGAGGCTGTCAATGATGGCACAGAAACAACTAACTAGAATCATTCTAGTGCTGACGAAGTGTGGCGTATATAAAACTCAAGAGAGTGTACAAAGAGGACACCGGAATCGAAGCCCACTGTATAGGACCATCGATTATATTTAACTTGAAATCTAAAAGTGAAGAACGCCTATATATATATATAAGTTACTACTTTGAATATACGTAAATGAATGGCCCTTCTCATGAAAATAATGTTTTGAGAAACCTGAAGTTCAGCTTTAGAGATATTCGTACATATCATAATATTGATGAAATGATACTGATTTTCAGCAGAGCCAGTCAACATGATCAAATCATTGCGCTAGGCCAGATTGATAATTGAGATAGCTTCACACAAGCTATCTCCGATCAACTCCTTTTTTGCTCAAAACAACACTACGCCCCCTAGACCTAGGCTCCCATGTAAGTGACGACAGAATACTATGTGGCCATTATGGGTACTATTCTTGATGGGTTATTGCACCTATCTGTGTATATGGTGGCATCTTTTCATTTCAAGAGTTAATGGTTTACTTGAGTTTACAATAACTTCATCAAATTAACCCCGATTAGAATAAAGTTTAAATCGATGGGTTTGTCACGGGGTCACTTCTGGGAGCATTCAGAAGCTATACCACTGAGCTAAACGCCCAAAAGACTAGGAGGTAGAATTAGAAGTTCTACCTTGCTCTCACATATATAGCAGGACAGGTGATCAGAATGAGCTAGTGCCAACCCCGTGACAGGGTTACAGAATAAACATTCTATTAACTAAGAGTTAACAAATTCGGTGTTAAGCTTGTTTTGTTGATGAACTAAATAAGGCAAAATGTGATATTTTTACACTAAGAAACATGGTGTATATAGACTCAAATGCTCATCTATAACGCTTGTGTTCAAGGCATAATGAACGAACTAGATTCAACAAACTAAGTCCATTACCCACATCTCGGCCACCTCAAAAAAAACAATACATAGATTTTAAACCTCAATAACTCCACCATCATTCAACTTCTATACAATCACCTGTAGAATCGCTTTCTATAAGTCGGGTACCCCACTTTCGGGCCACCCCTCTTTTGGGCCACTTTAAAAATTTACATTATATAATATTAAAATATTAATTATTTAACAATTATTTGGTATTATAATAAATATTTGAGGATATATTTTCATCATTATTATTAATATCTTTCATATCAATTTCATAGTTTTTTGCTTCAATTTGCATTTTCTTAATCTCTTTAATCTTAGAAAACTTTAAATTTGGATTAGTTTTCATCTTGTGTTTCTTTTTAGGAACAATTTACTTTGATTAATGCTCTAATTGCTTTATTCAATACCCAAATTATAGAATTTCATAATCCTTAATATTGAATCCCTTAATAATCTTCCTAAAAAGCTAATGGTGAATATAAAGATCAATTTCTTCACTCTAAAGGAATATATATATATATAATCTTAAATTACTAACTTTTTAAGGCATTTTAAAAGTTGAAATTACAAATTCCTTATTTTATTGATACATAGAATTATTATTAGAAAGTAAATTCTGATTTGTAACTTCTTTATTATTACTTTCAAATAATAATCTGAATATAATAGACTTAGTACGATTTAAAGACTATAAACCTATAGCTTTTCATCCAGCTAATATATTATACTTTGTTAAACTATTTAATCGTGCTTTTTGATAGTACATAAGAAAATTAGTCTTTTCAATTATTCTAGAATCCAATAAAAAGGCTAATTTATTAAGGTAGTGCCTATATACTCTTTTGAGAAGTAAGAAAACAAATAAATTAAAAGGTTGTAGGATGTATAATGTATATAATGAAAGGAATAAGAAGTATATATTATACTTAAAGTATTTATACATAAATTTAATAGTTTTATAACTTTTATACTTATTTAATATAAGGAGTCTTAGCTCATCCAATGAAGGAGAGGCTGTTTGAGATATAAAGACCTTTTTAAGCTATTCTAGAGCAGTATTATTTATAGTCCACTTATTATTTATAGTAATGAAATACCACCTTTTATAAGGTTTCAAATCAGCCGGAAATCATTATTATTATACTGATTTCCCCTTCAATATAATAAAAGAATTAAAGACTCTTTCCACAATTAAAATATACTCTATAAATAATAATTAAGTTTTAAAACCAAACTCCTTTTTCTAAATAAAAAAATGTTCTGAGCTTCCTAGAACTAGTTCATTTAATCTCTAGTCTTTTTATATACCTACTTCATTTATATTATAATAATATTGAAGCTTAATATAATAAATTAAAAGTAAATCCAACTTTAAAAATAATTAATTAATAATATCGATAATTATATTTTTAATATATATTACATTAATCTTAACTTGTTTTTTAATTCTAATTTCTAAATTCCTTTAAAGAAAGTTTTATATTCATTGTTTTTTAAGTATAAAATTACTTTCCTTAATATTAAAAAGGTGCTCCCTAATTTCACAAATTTATTAATATATAAAACTAATATTTAAAGACTCTTAAACTAATATTTAATTTATTGATTGTTTTTTTTATATTAAGGCTATCTTTTATATATATTATATATCTTTATTATAAAATAAGTAACTACTTATACAATTTTGAAAAATAACCCTTAAAATTCTATAATTCGAAATAGATTATTGAATTGAACATTTATTTATTACTACATATAAAGTTGAATTAATATCAATTTCGATATATATCTTAGACATAATATAAATAATAATATATTAAAATTTTAAATCAATTGATTCAAAAATTGTAAAGTTATTAAAGATTTAAAGTGGGAGGTTGTTTTCTATAGTAAGCTTTTTTAAGGTGGCTTAAAAGAGGGATGGTTCGAAAGTGGGGTACCCGACTTACTAAGTTCAGTGCCCTACTTTTAGGCCATCTTTCTTTTAGGCCATCTTTCTTTTAGGCCACTTCTCTTTTGGGCCACTTTTTCGCACCAAAAACAATAAAAATCACGATTTTTAATTTCTTTATTTATCAATATTATTGATTGAAATTTAAATTATAGATACTTTATATAAATATAAGCTAATTCTGAGATTTTCAGATTTTTAGTAATTGTAGCTCTTTGAGTTATATCTTATTATTTAATTTGAAGTTATTAGAACCCTGTTCCCACCTACCTGCCCCATAATAATCACATACAAATTCGAAATTTTGATAAAAATATTAATAACTTTTCAAGAAAAATTATTAAAAATAAACTATAAAATTTTATTATATCATTTTATATAATTATATATAAAAATCTAAGCTTCGAATTTTTATTATTTTATATTAAGATTTTATTTGAAATTTTAAAATTTACAGGGATTAGAAATCAATGATTTCTTTATAAATCGATATCCACTTATTTTTTATATATATTTTTTTCGAGCTTTATTATCACAAATATCTAAAAACTTTTATGAAATTTTATAATTTATTTTTAGTAATTTTTGTTGAAAAGTTATTATTGTTTTTAATAAGATTTCAAATTTATATGTAATTCCCATACAAATTCGAAAATCAATATTTCAATCTTTTGAATTTCAATCAAAAGAATTATAAAAAATCTAAAACTTTTAAAACTGATTAATATCTATATAAAGATTATTTATATAAAGTTTTATTAAAACATATTTAGTTTTAAAAAAGATATTAATATTGTTGGAAATCACATGTGTAGCACGTGTGTGGCACGTGCACACCACTATAAAACTCCTCTATCCGGGCCTTCCGGATATATAGACTTTAACCATATATTCAATATACTACTCTATATGCGTAACTTGCTGTTTATTTCTGACAAATATATCAAAATGGCTAGTTTTGGTGTAAAGGGTGGCCCAAAAGAGGGGTGGCCCAAAAGTAGGGCACTGAACTTACTTGAAGATTCATCTATATCAATTTCACGATCTCCTACATCAAGTTGTGCTTTCCTAATAGCTTTGATCCCTATAAACTTCGAATTTGGACTAGTCTTTACTGCTTTCCTTTTCTTGGGAATAATAGATTCCAATTTGTGTTTTAATTGCTTCACTTGATTCTTTGATTGCATAAGTTTATAATCTTTAGCATTAAAACCTTTCGAAATCTTATGAAAAAGTAAGCGCCATATGGTAAGATCGATATCTTTCTTCTAGGTCATAATATATGTATATTTTCGAATGTTAGATGCTTTTTGAGGGGGTTTCCATTCAACAAAAGATGAATTTATATTCCAAGTTAATATTAAATTATTATCTAAAGTAGGATTAAATAGTAGTATCTCTTTATTACTATTTTCAAGCAAAAGTCGACTTATAAGAGGTTTAGCTATATTCTTAGACCATAAACCACTAGCTCTTCATCCTGATTTGATATTTTTTGCTAATAATACTTCTTTTCAAGCTTCTTGATAGTAAGAAAGGAAAGAATACTTTTTAACTAATGTAGAATCAAATAATAATATACTTAATTTATTAAGTATATATTGATATACGTTTTTTAAGCTTAAAAATATTAATAAATCAAAAGGCTGTAGAACATGTAATGTATATAGTAATAAGAATAAGAGATATATATTATTTTCAAAGTAGAGCTTTATAAGTAAAGTGGTTTCATAACTTCCATGCCTGTTTAAGATAAGTAATCGAGGATCATCAGGGACTACTAGTATTGCAGAGAGGGGATAAATACCTTTTTTAATCACTCTAGAGCTGTTTCATTGGCTATATATTCATTCTTTGTGGCGGTAAAGCTCCATTCATCATACAAAAAGAGATTTGTAAGGAACCATTACTGTTAAATATTCTTTTCTTTGAAAATAACTAATAAATCGAAAGCTCTTCTAATAACTGAAATGTATTCAATGAAAGAGATCTATAGTTTTGAACTAGGTTGCTTTTTTTGAATAGCTTTTTGCTAAGAACTTCCTACTACTAGCCCATTTAGACCCTGACCCTCCATAATACCAGCTTCGTCCATATTCCACCTATTTTCTGGCTTAATATGCTTGATATCGGGGAGATCGAGCTTTTTAAACCACTCCTTTAATGTATCAGTAGTAGTACCTGTAACTCGTGCTGAATCGATTCTAGTCTGATATTTGGTTCTAATCTCTGGATTCCTACGAATAAAATTTCGTATCCATCGCTTTCCAAGTGTTGGATCCTCCTCTCGTTGAATAAGGAGAATCTCGCCAATCTCTCTTATTTGTCGGTGTGTTGGGCTAACTCCCAATGCTTCTTGTATCAATATCCAACTTGCTAGCTGTTTCTCCTGAATTGGAGCTATCTTTTGCTGGTTTTGAGTACTCAATCGATGCGATAAACCTCCATTTATACGATCTTGAAGAGTAGCTCTTGGTATACCATAATCCAAAGCAGCTTTTCGTATTGATTGATCATTCACGATCGCTCTAAGTGCCATTGCAATATCGTCTTCGGTATATGACCTCATCACAATCTAATTAATAAGTCTTCAAAATTTCAGATTAATTGATTGAAGGGTTGTAGAGTTATTGAGATTTTAAGAAGATAGGTTGCTTCCGGAGGTGTAGATTTCGAGGTGGCCGAAATGAGGGGTAATGAACTTAATACTATGGCATCTCAAGTTGTAGAACACAAAAACAAAGATATGGAAGTTCTTCTATACCTGTTAGCAAAGCCTTTCCCTGAGCCTTTTCCCTGGCAATAATTAGCATAAGCTAATCTAAATAGCCGATACTATCGCTCATCCTTTCGATCTATTGTGTCGCGATGCATCGTATCCTTGAGCCTATGGCCCCGTAGTCACGTATTTATTTGATTAGTGACATGGAATTACACCACTTCTTTTACCTCGGGGTTATTCTCAGTCTCTGCTTGTCTAACTTCAAAAAGTCAAAAAAAAAACATTAATAAAGTTATATAACTTAGACCTGATACAGCCCAGCAAACTGATCAGATGGCTAGAAGTATGGTTTAATACAGGACTAAGTTTCTACAGCAATCAGGGGAGCTCAAGCAAAGTTAGTCTTCTAGGCTTACTAGCTTAGAGATAGAATCAAACCTAAGACAACTCTACTTAGCATGTGTTACCAGCATTGCTGACTACGGATCAATGATTTGATGGCAGGGATAACCCCAATTCAGAAACTATCTTCAGATTCCGCTAGGGAAGAATATAGAGAGTGTATTTTATTTTATTTTATTGAGGTATAGTTACTTGATGTACAGTAACAGAACTTCGTTAATATAGCTTCGATTTTACAAATATAATAATTATCTTGTAATAGAAAGTAATTAAGTTCATCAATGATTTCAACAAAAGTTTTATAAGGTTACAGAATTATGTTTTGAATGCTAATTAGAAAACCAAGTGTATACATATGAATGTGAATATTTTATACATAACGAATATTTAAATCACCACTATATACGACGGGCTAATATTGCAGATGCCTTTTTTATTATAAATAATACGAATCTTAATTTGCAAAAATAAAATCAAAATGTATAGTAATGCCTCATTCTGCCAATTGGAAAGTACTTTTTTGCCTCTGGATGACTAGGAAAACGATTCCGTGTAGTCTGTCATTGGTAGATGTCGTGTTACGCCCGTCTCCAATATTTTTCCAGTGTGTTGAGAGCAATTTAGGTAAATCATTGCAATATGCGCTGAAAGTGATTTCCGTCTGTGTAACATTGTAAAAATTGGACCATTCGTCGCTCTCTTCTTTATTAAAGGAACCCTTTTCTTTACCCTCTATTAATATATCACCAATGAGCTTAAGATATTTTTTTGCTTCGGATCTTTCCTTTATAGTTCCCCATAGGTGAATATTTGCTAGAAATTTCTCAATATAATCTCAAGTAGTAGCATTAATTATAGAACTCATTGAGTTTGAATCCTTCTCCCGTAATTAATACATCACTACTTGTGAATTCGCTTAAAGCAAGCTCATTCTTAGCCAAAAATCCGAGTACGCTCAAAATCTTTACCAGTCAGTACGAAACATCTTATAGCTTTTTGACTCAACCTACATCTTTGTATATCCTATGTGCGTCTCTTGTATTCCATTGAAGTTGCGATATCGCTGCTTTAGTAGTTACAAATAATGGAGTTTTTGAAATATATAGCTCACACATTCCTGATGTGTGATCAATTAGAGTAACATGGGTATCAATTTCTTTCCATCCACCGTCATCAAAGCTGATGATATTGTTATGATTGAGTTGATATAATGTTTGATATTCCGCATTAGTCTTTTCAGTAGTGATACGTGTGAGATTCTATAATAAGTATACTAAATCACTTATTAATATCTTACTAATCAAGTTATATATATATTAATAATATAAGTATAATATGATTTTATATTATAAAATTATATTATTATATTATAATATAGCTATATCTCTTATCAAATTAATTTATAATGAAATAAAATGAAATGGAATTATATGGAAGATTGTTAATAAATTAACTAAATTGATTAATTGTATTTTTCTTTTATAATATAAAATAATTCTATAAGATTTAATTCAAATCAATCTTATTTATAAGTATAAAAACTATTAGAATTTCATTATAAATTATATAAATCTAGAATATTCTTTAAAGAAAACCTAGGAAAAAGCAAGTAAATTCAGCTTAATTAAGCTCTTTCTTATAATTTATCTTCAATTCAACTCTTATATTATATTCGATTCGTTCTTTAAGCTAAAGTGACTAAGTCTTCCATTATTATTAGAATATTATTATTATTATTATATTCTGGAAAATTACCTCTAAAATATTTAAAGTGTAAATTTTATAATTACTCAAAGTGGTGTGGTTTTTGAGGTGGTCGAAAAGAGGGGGTGGTCGAAAAGAGGGGGTGGTCGAAAAGAGGGGGTGGTCGAAAAGAGGGGGTGGTCGGAAAGTGGGGTAGTTGACTTATAAGTGTCAGTTCTCGGTATCAAGTTAGATGAATGAGGTAAATGAGTCGAGAATTGTGATATAGAGTGGTGTTATTAATGAGTTCGATATGAAAATAAGGCGGGTGGATAGGGTTGAATAAGTAGATAACAAGTGAGCAAGGGATGATGATTTCACGCTTTGGATTTTCCACAAGCTCCTGCGTTCTACATTTTCATTCCACTGTTACCCAATCTTTTATCTCAGGAGTCGCTGCGGTCTCTCTTTATGATGGTTACACAGCGAATTGGAAATCCATTTATTAATCTGCTAACAATGTAAATATCAAATTCCTACTATTATTACGCAAGAATTATATTTTCGATAATAAACCTATTCAACCTAGAATGTTTGTTGGTATCTTTAAAACAATTATTAAGTAGTCTATTAGGGTTATTTTTATTAATAGGTTTATTCAAAAGTATTAAGACTATGATTTTATTTATATAAAGCTTATTTCTTTAGTATTTCTTAATACCTTTTTCTCTTTGACGTTTTTTAATATTTCCTTTTTATCTGTTTTTTATGGTGGCTGATATAAAATTATTGATAAATAAAAGGTTAGGAAGATTTTGTTTGAGTAATACCTTTTGGAATAGGAATGGTCTATTCCTTTCCAAACTTATTGGAACTTTATGATGTATATGACTTAATTTGAGATCTTTTATCAAAACATTTCAGCTCTTTCTTTATTTGAGTATATAGACTTTTCATTTGAACGGGATTTAAGATGGGAGGGTGATGGAGAGTGGGAGGGTGTTAGTTATGTATTTCACTTTCGTTGCAACTAATTTGTACGAGATCATATACATAATTACAAAATCATCGAGGGTAAGCATCCAAGGATAAACTTAGCACCTTTTACAAACCTCAAAACCTTATCTCGATATCCATTCTAGAAAGCCTGACGCATGAGATAGCTTGAGAGGTGCTAATTTGATCTATGCAACTCATGATTTGTGCAATCTTATCGAAAGAGGATCTCTCGGGGACGGCCCCAAATATTAAATGGTAGTTCGGGACCGAAATTTTGACATCCCCTATCGGCATTACGAATTTACCGCGGTAGTCCTCCTATTATATAACATATTGCGATTCAGCTTTTTTGGCACATCAATTTCAAACTTTACCCAAGAGTTTACTCGTTTCGATTTTAATTCGTCCAAAAACTCATATCTGTTTGAATATTGGGCTCAATTAGAACATACAATATAAAGCCAAAAAATATTTCATTTTACAACTTAGGTGAGCCAATGAATGACAAATTTGAATAAACTCAACACAAAACTATATTTTCCCGCTGCCTAAGTAGACAAGGATACTACGAAGAGGAACTGCCAAGGCAGTATTTTGTAACAGTTCGTTTATTCGAGTTTTGAGTATGCCATGCATGGCAGAGGTTTGACTTTACCGTCTCAAGAATGGCCCCCAACCTGGAGGATAGTGACCTCCCGACTCTTTTTGTCTATCAGAAACGAGATTCTATCACCTTGAGAGGCCCTGATCTCGTACTGTGGCGGTTTCGACCCTCTGAATTTCGTAAAGTTCATATCACCTGCTCGATCGGCGGCCTGTCTAGGAGAAAGTCTCTCCTCCCGGACCAACCTACGAAAATCGACAAATTTTTCGGACGCTGGACCATTTTTGCCTCCCACATTTGGCAAATCCTTTGCTTGAATCCACGTCCAGGGCTCTCTATTTTCAATCTCCTTGATTCTACCCTTCATTTCCATTAGACCTTTGTTGAAAAGTTTCTTTTCTGCAGCACTCATTTTGTTCCATGAATCGAATTTGCTAAATTGATCCGCTTGTAATTTGAATCGTTTAAAGGAGTGTACCGTGCCAATCTTGCTAGGCATAACTGGTTTACCGCCTGCCACGCGTAGCTTCTCTGCACCAGCGAGCAGCTGTTCGAGCGTCTCACTAACTGACTTGAAAACCTTATTTGCACCCCGAGATAGACCCCTGCTGACCATATTTCCTATACCGCCGAAAATAACATCGCTACCAACACTCTGCAAATCAGGGATTCTCCCTGCGGCAACGTCGTATACAGCACCAGTTCCAACATCAGATGCAACAGCAACAGCCAGATCCACGCCGACTTCGATTGCCACCGAGGCACCGTCCGTGAGAATACCTGCTAGAACACTCAGTGCAAACCCGACTATAGCTTGGGCCAGATTTCGCCAGGTGATCTGGATACCAAATATGCTAAAGTGACCTGAAGGGTCGATGCGGTTGATTGGATCACCATAACAATAGGCGTAGGAATTTATATCGCCGGAAGTGAATGGACTCCAAGAGTCTGGACTATGGAAGCGCATCAGGACGGGATTATACACGCGATATCCGTTTCCGAGATGATACCAGCCAGTAACGGGGTCTCGCCACTGTCCGTTCCAACCGATAGCAGACTGGGCGTTGCTGAAACCGTATGGTGTATAGACTTGGTTGTAGATTTGAGAGGGCTCACTTGTGTCCAGCCAGGCGAGAACAGATTGGTGATTGTCGGAAGTCCAGAGCTGGGTGGATGTCTCGTTACTCTCCTGGAGTATTTGACCCCAGTGTTGGTCTCCGCTAGATACATAGCTAATATTAGCACCGCCGCTCGTAGCAGCAACTAGTATCTCTCCTCGGTAATGTAGATGATAATCTGGTTTGCCAGGTACTTTCTGAGTAAGCAATCTGCCATGAGAGTCGTAGTAGTACTGACACAAGATCGTCTGGTCTTCGTTGCGTACAGCTTTCAAGGTACCAGAAGTGTCATACTCCAGAGTCTGGCCCTGTTCATCCTGGGTCAAACATCCATTGTCATCATACTCAAGCTTAACCTGTGGTTTCTCATCAGGGTGCGTGTTTGAAATAAGAATGAGTTGGCAGGGGTCTTTATCAGAGTATGTGTAGCGAGCAATGTTCTGACTGTCATCTTGGAAGTGGGTAGTGACCTGCTTCAGACCACCAACTTCCGTGAATGTGTACTCCTGATGGAGCACTTTACGTCCATGTTCATCAATTGGAAGTTCGGTTCCTTGAACTTCATAGTCAAACAATCGGCCCATATTGTCATACTGAAAGTTTTCTTGTCGGATCGTGTTTCCACTACCGTCTTTCAATTCACGGATTTGGACTCTGTTTTCCGTATCATATTTCACCTGGCTTAAGACATAAAGCACAGTCGGGCCTTGGAAGACTGTACGCTTGGTCTCACGCCCAAAATCATCGTAATCCAAGACTGTCATTAGACTCGTATCCTTCTTGTTATCATGTACGATACTTTGTGCAAGGCGGTTCGCGTCGTCGTATTTGAGTGTGATTGTTATTGGTCCTTGTGATAGCTGTTTAAGCCTTCCATAATGATCATAATCTAGTACTTGGTCTTGGCCGTGAACATCGGTATAGTCCTGGAGTTTACCATTCATGGAGTAAGAATACTTAGCCGAAAGCTGCATCTCCATTCCTTGACCAATAGTTATGCTTTCGGACTTCAACAAGCCCGATGGCAGATAATCCAACTCCTCTGTACAGTATGGATTTGTGCTCTCCCGTACTTCAGCTGTTTTCGGGTCGTACTGATAACTGCACGGATTATCACTGGTTGCCAAATCCTTCAGAGCATAGTTCAAAGCTTTCTCATAGTCCAAATGAAGCTTGTCGTTCTTAGGAGTCGTGATATCGCTAGGCTGAGGCGAGCTACCTTCATAGGACAGAAGAGTTTGACGATTAGCTATTTGCCGACTTTTTGCACGGCTTAGCCCGTCGAAAGGCTGTTGGCCAAGAAAAATACCTGATACCTGGATAGATTCAGGGAGAGGATCAGTAGTATGAGCTGCGTATCGGGTATTTCCGAAACGATTATCCTGCCAGGTTGTATGGCTCACACGATTGAAGCAATCGTAGGTGTACTGGCTGGTATTGTCAAGACTGTCTTTCTCTTGAATTGTTCTCCCTAGACCATCATTGGTGTAGGTAACGTTGCTATACATGCTACCATTTGCATTAAAAAGTGCTGTCTGGATAAGATAATCTTGAGACTCGAAGGAGGCCTTCTTTTGCCCTTGAGCCTTGATTCCCTCCGTGTAAGTCTGCTCAATTGGATCTGTCACTGCCAAAGTAATAACGCCATTACTATCAGTCACCTTGCACACATATCCCCAGTCATCATATTCATAGTCATGACTGGCGGACTGTTTCTTGGGCCCGTCCGAAGCCCTTAACCAGTCGATATCCGTCATTCTAATGCATTGTCCAAGTGCGTTGTAACTTTGCTCCTGTACAGTGCGGAACGTTCCTGTGTAGGCATCAAGCTTCCATTCTCCGTCATCGTCTTGCCTCTCTACTTGGCAAACTCTCTGCAAACCGTCGGTGGTAGATCGGGTCTTCACTCCCTTGGCATCAGTTACAGTGAGACTGCAACCTGCTGTATCGCCCAAAAAGGCATATTCATGAATCTCTGTTGCTTCATATACAGTGCTTGGAGAAGTTGTAGTATTGATTTGTCGACCAATCTGATCGTATGTAAATTGAGTCTCAATGCCGGCTTCATCTACATGGCTCATAATTCGTCCTTCAGCCATAGAAAAAATCGTTTTGTTTTTCACTTGGAAATTATCGAAGCTCTGAAGCTGCGTTGTCTCACTAAATCGATCGGCTTCGTACTGGTAGGTCCAGGATTGCACCATGGGACTTTTATCATACAACATTGACGTCTGCTGCTTATAACGGCCATGGTCTCTTTCATCTAGCTGGCTAACATATGTCCTGTCAATACTGCAGTTACATGGGCCGTTATCCGCGAAAGATTGAGACTGTTGGAGTAGAACAAAGGAGGGGTTTGGCGCACCCTGAGCTGTAGGAAGCTCTCTATAGGTGTGGCGTGCAGTCCGCACAGGAGCCTGGCCAGGCTTCTTGGGAGGGGTGATAGTTTGCTCTTTTAAATAGCGTTGAAAACCATGAGGGTCAGCAGGACATTTACTGGTCTCCCCATTTGGCTGATAATAAGCACGCGTTGTCTTGACGCCATCTATCTGAGTGTCCGAAGTAGGGTTGCCCCATTCGTCAAACTCATGAGAAGTTATCTCATCCCGAAACAACGATGGGTTAGCCAAATCACAGTATGTTGTTTTAACGCTTTTTGGTAGTTGGAACTGTGGTGGCTGATGCACTAGTGCAACATTTGGTTTGACATAGTATTCAACAGTTTGCGTAATCTGCTTTCCATTTAGGTCTCGCTTAGTCTCAACGATCAAGTGAAATTTGTTGTAGGTATATTTGGTCTTTTGACCACCATCGACGGATACAGTAGCAGTGTATGTGTAGTTGTCTCTCACGCGATAGAGATTGTCCTCGCCATATTTCCAATGATCAACGGCTCCGTACCCGAGGAAGTTGTTAGTGCCGTAGTCGTAGAGCGTTTTGATAGCAGGCTGTTGGTTTCCAGGCTTGATGATGTGCTGTCTGACAACTGGAATGGACTCATAGGGGCCTCCTGGTGGCACTTTAAACCCAGATGAATTATATGTGACCTCTTCCACCAAACCCAAAGGACTGCGGATGTTGGACAGACAAATGAGCGGCCCATAAGCAATGTAAGCAAACTTCCATTTTGCACCATCTGTCAAAGGCAGCCAAAACTCCTGTAGCTGACCTCCTCTGATTACTGCAGTGAAGGTAGAGAGGCTTGCAGCCCCTGGAGAATGAACAATCTCCACGTGCGGATCTCGATAGTTGATCTGTAGCAAAATCTCGTCGCCATCTTGTACTTTGCTCAGTCTTGGTTGGCCATTAATTGGAATCCAGACAAGAGTCAATGCGCGCCCATTAGCTGCGTAAATTTTGACAGGGACATTCGTGTTATAGACGTTGTGAGCGTTGGAAAGAAGTTCAATTTTTCCATCCTTGTGGATAATCTCGAAATCGGAACCTTTCTGCTGAAACTTGAAGCTTTTCAGCTTTTGGTCCTCGACAAGTAGACCTCCACTGTTGGAGACTTGGTAGTGTTCTCCAGTAGAGAGTATAAGGCTACGTGGTGCAATGTGCTGGTACTGAGAAAGATTCAATGACCAACCCTTGCCGAAGCCAATGTTTGCAGTGTTCAAGGGGCTAAACCGAAGAGATAGCTTGAATGGTGCACAATTACGGGCTTTGGCCGGGGCCTCATACAAGGCGATGGAGGAGGTATATTGTCCGGTTCGAGCATCAACACCTTCTTGGACAAAGCTTCCAAAGTTGACTCCCTGTGAGTACAGTGTGTTTTCGCTGCTTGGCATTGTTTACCGCTTTTAATATAATCGAGGTTTGGAAAAGTGTGTGTTTCAATATCGATTTTAGTAGAGCAATGTTTTCATTCTTGAGGTAGACTTTAAAGTAATGCTGGGGTGTGACTTTAATTCTTAGTAGTTAATTTAGCTGAAGAAAATGCACACGTTGAGAAGAGCGACATCTCAATTTAACTCATTCGAACTTCACGACATCACGGACACATAGCACAGCTATACACAATCAGTGGCATTGGCATCCTGGTGAGATGACATTTCGTTATTTTCAACTCTCCCATTGGCAACGATAAAGCCTCCAACCACCCTAATTTTTTTTACTGGCTTAAAGATCAATGTGAGACCAGTCTAATACTACAGTTTTAGCTCCAAAAGTTTTTAGTACGCCTCAAAGTGTATGGAAATTATTTTGTGGAGCATGAATCCGAGCAGGCAGTACCAAGATTTTCCTCACTTATATCAAGTTAACTAAACGGCTTGTCTTTTTAAAGTTTTCAATCACCTTACGAGTATGTTTCATATCGGCGGCGCCATTTGCGCCTTCCGACGCCTCTAAAAGTTACACCTCTACTTTAAAGTCATCCATTTAGCGTCAGTCAGCCGCTAGATCTGTATTTTGACATTTAGCTAGATCCCTGACGCCGCATCGCAGTTTAAAAAATAAAGCCTCAAATTCATCAAATATCGAGATATCGTGCAGATCATTGAGGAGTGGCTGGCTGACAGTGTTAAAGTTTTCGTTAGCTCGCTTACACTACAGAGCATTACCTGAACTACTAGCTCTTTTACGTCCATAAAATGCCATGCATTTAACTTTTTCTGGGATGGTTTTGCATCTGGTTCCTCCAAAATTTCGTATTTATGCGGAGTGCTATGGAGATTTCCATCCCCAACGCAAGGGCCTAGTCAATCTGTGCATTTTAGAAATCAAGTAATACAAAATTTGCCATTTGTCGGGTGCTTGTGTAGTGTATCACTTCACATGGTGGAGCAGAAAGATGATCAATTTTCTGATTCTCTCGGTAGACCAGGGATGCTACACCGGCATATGTAGCTAGTAGATATTGCATCAATATCTCCATACTTCGTTACATCCCGCTACACCATGACATAGTAACCAACCTACAAATGACTGTATCTTCCATCAAATCTTGCCCCATCACACATATATACTTGAACCAGATCCTTCTTTGGAATTGAAGCAAAATTCTTTCAAGACAAAAACCAACCAGTAACTTTCCCTTTACTTGCAAGCTGAGAGAAGTAGAAATTACTGACTCCTATAGCTCAGTACAAAACCCACATTACACCATGCATTTTTCGAGAATTTCCAGCGTTTTAGCTCTTGCCTCGACTGTCCTAGCAGGCCAATGCTACAACCATGCCGAGGGCGCCCACAAAGTAAAGTGCGTTCACAAAGACGAGTTATCAAAATTTGCCGACGACTACTGTCATGAGAACTGGAACAAGCTTGTTGGAGACTGGATCGACTATAACGATCGAAGCGGAAACACCGCCAACATTGGCAAGGTTGCTAATTTCGGTTCCAAACAAGCCTGTGTTGTTGCCTTTTCTCAAGTTGTGGAAAGTTGCTACAATGGCTGGGATGGCGGTCAGTGGGTCGCTGATGGAACTTTGTTGAACATCAACTTCTGCAAGTGGTCGGCGGAACCTAAGAGAGTTCGATATGATGCATTGAACGCTAGACCTGAGGCTCCAAGAGTTAGATATCAAGGACCAAGAGAAGCTAAGAGAGTTGCATGGGATGGACTCAGAGGCGATCATGAACATACAGCCAAGAGAGTTGGATACCAGGGACTGAGACTTCAATCTAATGATTTGTAGGGAGAATAGGTCGTACAACTTGTCTTCCTTCTTATTCTTCTATGTTCTTCGATGGAGTGATGGAAGTTGCGATGCAGAAATAGTGGCATTTTTGTATTTTGCTTTGGTAGATTGCCCGCGATGGACTTTGAGGTAACTCCTCACCAAGCTCCATAAGAGTCTATCAGCCAGAGGGGAGATTTATGGTCACAATGGAGGTTCAGTTGTATGCATATTTGAGTATCAAGATTCTTGAATCGATATCATTCATTTGATTTGAACATCAGCTTTGTAAGAAGTGAATTTATATTGTTTATGAACTTCATTCAATTTTTTGTTGACCGTATTTATAATCACATCTGATCATCACTCTATCTTATGACGATGGAAATCTTATGGTCCCAGAGCCCCTAGAAGCGTAGAGTATCAAAGAATCCGAAATGCAATTCCGACTATCATGTGGATGATCAAGAGACATTCAACTACTATCATTCTTAGGGACTATGGACGTGCTTTGCTATAAGACATTCCTATTAACTTTGACCTCTTGCCTCGATAAAAATGATTCCAAAATAAAAGAAGATGGGAAAAAATCGGAATTCCATTTTCGACGAGTGTTGATCCAAGTGAAAGCGAGTATAGGCAGGAAAGGAACATCATGAGGACGGAAATTTCCATGCACTAAATGTATACTTTCGTATACATTCTTCGAGCAATAACTTGTCTTCCATTACACCAAAAATGATGTGGTGATCGACATAACGGGAGACAAGTCCACCAAAGCACGATTTCCTAATGGGAAATACGAGATAATACCACGCACTATCATCTCGATTCTTGGGAATACATATCTTCCCGGTACCAGCTGAAATAAAATTCAATGCAACGTTACTTCGTAGAGATCTCGATGTTTGTTTCACAACACATCATTCTCAAGCAAAGTATACTCCGCATTTCACAGCATCATTATTCTCGGGGTGAAGTATTCACTGACATAATGCTGATACAATATGAGGAAAAGCTTTCGAAATATAGTAAGAGATAGTATAGAGTAGGCTACTGATTTAGTAATGTGTACCACAGTCCATCTGTAGATCGATGTCATACAAAGTAGGTTTATAATTAGCGCGATGTCCCGTCAGGCTTACCGAGAGCGGTGAAAGCTAACGATCATGTAATATTGTACGTATATCGAGAGAATTAAACTCGCTCCATGTGGGCAGAAAAATGGCACACCCAAAAGGTACTCCCTTTTCAAAGTTATTCACAAAATCAATTCAGGAATATTTCGAATTGAAAATTAAACATAATCTTTTAGAAATAATCAATTTAACGTACATGTAAAATTTATCGTATCTGGTCCATTATTCATAATATTATACAGTATTAAAGTACAAGTGTCTTTGATAGGTTTTTGGTTTTGAGTGGTTAGGCGTGTGGGTTTTCCCCATCCACATGGAGACTCGGTAATCTAACTTTGATCTTGGTGACATATCATGTGTGATGTGGTTGTAGGTCAACGTGAATGGCGTAGCTGATGGGAGACAATGCGACAGGTATCGGCACTGCAAGGGGCTGTTATGTAGTTAGCTGAACCATTTTTGTGGGGTACATAGACTAACTATGCATATGCATAGATGATCACGGGTCTACAAATGGAAACGATAATCGCTCTACTGTCCTACTTGCTGCTAATAGTTTCATTTGACAGAGGTAGTTGAAATTATCGGCAAACAGCAGAAAATAAGATTATCGCCATGCACATCGTGTCTTACCAGCGACTTGTCTTGGAGACAGAACCGGCCAGAGTGAGAGTGCCAGCAAATAACGACGTCATGGTAAATTTTACCTCCTAGAGCTTCATTTTTGCCAAAGGACTCTGTGTATAAATAGTCTTTCCTAGACCATCATATCACAACCATCAATCATCATCCAACTCTCACATCTTCAAATCTCAACAAATATTCACACAAGCATTCCATCTCCTTAACATCGAACAAAAAATCCCTCCCAACAATTTTCACCATGAAGTTCATTTATTTCGGATTCCTCCTTGCTGCCACCACTGCATACGCCTGCGGAGACAACGCCTATAGATGCAAGAATCCCGACAAATCAGTAGATGAGATGTGGCAAGTCACCCACAAGATTTGTAACAATCTTCAGGAGGACGATTGTTACTGTTCTCACTGGGCCGAATACTACTGCGACCCCTATGGTGGCAACGTTGAAAAATTCAAGCAGCAATGTGAGGATGAAGGCGAGAACTGGTACTGGAACGAATGTTAAGCAATGTAAGAAAATCTTGCCTAGGTACCTTTTTTTCCCCAAAGCTAACTTTTAATCAGTTCTCAGTTTAGGTGTCAGTGAAGAGGACGAAGGGATGGTATGAGGAGTGTTCAACGGATGGCTTTGTTAGTTCTGGACTCCACATCTGTCATTTGTTCTGCCTCGACACTATCTGAGTCTTGTTCCATCTCAGAAATTTGGTAAAGTATTGTTTGAGAAGGTCGTGGAACCTTAGATTCCACTCTTTTGGTTCGCTCGCAAGTTCACAGCATGTATTCAGGCTCTAGGCCCTTTTTAGCTAGAACCCTAACCAAGGAATCTTATATGCTGCATACTAAATGAACACAGAAAGACTTATCTTTTCTAAATGCAATTGTGAAATTCTTACAGCGAATATCTTGGGTATGAGAAATATGTCAATCGGGGCAAGAGGTTCTTTCAGTATTGAGTTTACGTAAGGAGGCTTTTGAAGTCATAAAGAAATCGAGTATATAGACTAAACAGTTTGATATCCTCCTCTAGCTCTCTCATGTCTAGGTCCTTGTCTGGTGAGTATCGAATAATTAGCAACCTGGTTGATTTCCTTCCGCGAGGTGTTCATACTTTCTGGACACCTCTCTTCCACAGCACAGTTATTGCAAACGAATTGTCGATTTTCTCGATGATATTCACATACCCAAGTGCGCAACAACTTTGTCTAAGTTTAAATATTTCGAACTCTATATCAGGTCAATCTAAGCTTTCCCGATCCTCTCAAGACAAGATATTAAGAGCCTGATATCAAGCAAAAATCTGGTGCTGCCAATTTACTGACATTCAAGGACTTCAAAACCATCCCTCCCCATCATCTTAAACAATATCAACTTGCCCAACGAAATTAT